CAAGAGTTTGAGGTTGCTGTGAGCTATGGTACCGTGGCATTCTACCCAGGGCAACTGAATGAGACTGTCTCCAAAAAAAAAATCTTCAAATAAATTGGCATAAAGTAGTTAATATCCTTTTATTACTTTTTTCCTTCTTATATCATAAAATATAAAAAAATACAGAGAAATGTATAAAATAACTTAATAAATATAAAACAACAATGCAGTTTTTACCACTATCAGGAAAAGAACATTAACAGCAATGCTGGGTAGGGAAGGAAGGCAATTGGATTGATGGAAATTCCCATTTTAAAATCAAAATCTCATCATTAGATCAGAAATGAGTTTTCAAGATAGTTACTCTTTTAGGTGGGAAATCTGGAAGCACACAAATGTTAAGTGATATGCTTGGATGTACACGGTAAACAGAAATTATTGTTTTCCCCATCTATATTATATTGTCGTAACATAGATGTCAGATGAACCCACCCTGCTTCTTAGACTCGGACTAATTGGCTAAGACCACCAGTGATTGCAGAGCCTGTGAGAGTCTGAACATCTTCCTAACACCTGCATGATTTTCAGGGCTTGAGCTCTTCTTCACTTACTTGTGTGCAGACTCCTGTGCATCTTCTTTATACTGTACTAGTATGAGTTCCTCATAAAGGATCCGTTCATCCAGAAACTGCAATGAACAGGAATGGATGTAGGTGAAGCAGAACCTAAGCTTACGCTGTGGTCACTAATAAAGGAACACCCTACAACAAGCAACTTAAAAATGGATGCATTAGTAGCTGGGCATAGTAGCTCACACCTGTAATCCCAGCACTTTGGGAGGCTGAGGCAGGAGGATCACTTGAGCCCAGAAGTTTGAGGTTGCTGTTAGCTATGATCATACCACTGCATTCCTGCCTGGGCAGCAGAATGAGACTCTTATCTCTTAAAAAAAAAAAGAAAAAGAAAGAAAGAAGATTCATACATTACGTAATGGCTGCAGACGTTGCTGTTATCCAGTGCACTCATAGTGCACTTAGTCGTAACGCTTCTAGTTATTTTCCTCCCTTCCACCTTCCTCATCATTTTTCCCCCTCCTCTGCCTTCCATTCTCCCTTCCAAATTAACTTTAAACCCGTGCCCCACATTCTTTCATCTGTTCTACTGAGTAGTCTTCCCCTTCCTCTGAAGTCCAGGAAGGCAGTGGAAGCATTCATCTTCTACTTGAAACAATTGCCAGACTGTCCCTTCAACAAGACGGTTCTATTTTTCAGAGGAATTTTAGAGCTATGTGTAGAATGTACTCATATTTTTGACTGTCTGTTTTCACCTGTCCAAGGGACTTGAGAGCTAATTTTGAATGTTCTAGCCAAGGAGTAAGAAGTACGTGCAGGCTTTTGACCAGAGAATATCCTCCTTTGTCCAATTCAGTTGTGTTTTACAAAAGACCCAGCTTGAAGAGGAGCAAACAGGACAGCAAAGAGAGAAGAATGAGATAGCTACATAGCCTGGATTCTTTTCAACCCTTATAATCAGTAGGGTGACAGGTATCACTAGCAGCTACATTGGACACACACTGGGGAAAGCGAAGTACGAAGTTTGAATTTTGACTAAATTCACATAGAGAGCAATTGGCAATAACTTATCTAAAGTAGTATAGAATTAGCCACCTTCTTGAGGGCCGAGGCCAAAGTCCCAAACTGTCAGTACAAAAGCCTGTTTGGATTATTTCCTTGCTTTAATCAATATCGATTTAGAAATAAGACTTGTTTAAACTTGTTAGAACCAATGATTCTACTAAGTATTAATGCAATTTAAAATTGCTTTCTTGTTCTAAAAATTTTGGAAAACCACTAAAAAGAAAGGAAGATGGGTGAATAAGTGTATATGTTGGGATGTTACAGTATTCACTGATGGACTAGTAGTATCTGCACAATTGTCAGCAAAATTATTTTCTTCCAATAAATGGCTCTTCACGTTACTTATGGAGGTAATCAGTCAGCTTATGGAAGGCCTTATTTTTATTTATTTTTTTTTTTTGCAGTTTTTGGCCAGGGCTGGGTTTGAACCTGCCACCTCCGGCATATGGGGCCAGCGCCCTACTCCTTTGAGCCACAGGCACCACCTAGAAGGCCTTGTTTTTTAATGGTTAAGATGAATACAATTATTATCTCTTAATATGTTTCTATCTAAACAGAGAATCCAGGGGAAAGTTTAAAGATATTTGAGAAATACTAAGAATGAAAAGCGTTACTTTCTACCAGTTGGAAACATTTTTTAATGTGGTTTATTGAATGTTCAGGCAACAGAATGTACTTTGTATTTGAAGGCTTCAGTAGTTCTCGGTTGTAATGACTGCTAAATTCAAATGGAAAGTTGGCCAAAAGTAAATACAGCTAATGATTTACACAATTTTTGTTAGAGTAATACCAAAAATATTACTAACAGCCAGAATTGAAAAATATGATAGAAGGTTATTAGAGTATTCATTTATTTTCTAAATTACTCTGAGGATGCCAGGAATATGAACATATATTTTATATGCCTCAGCAAATTAAAAAAAATTTTCATATTGAACAGAAATATGTAACCATGTAACTATGGGTTGATCCTTGCTCTATAGTATGTACTATAATTTTCATTTTGCTAGTTAAATTTGCTGTTACTTTCATCAGTATTTTTATTAGAGGGAATGAAACCTATGTTTGGTTTTTTCATTCATTCTACCCTAATTCATAAGTCCTAGACCAGACTATTGGGTCACTATTTCATGAGAATTTTCTTTTTTTTAAGAGGTAGAGTCTCACTTTATCACCCTCAGTAGAGTGCTGTGGTGTCACAGCTCACAGCAACTCCTGGGCTTAGATGATTCTCTTGCCTCAGTCTCCTGAGTAGCTGGGAAACCTGCCACAACGCCTGGCAGTTTTTTTGTTGCAGTTTGGCTGGGGCTGGGTTTGAACCTGCCACCCTCAGTATATGGGGCCGGCTCCCTACCCACTGAGCCACAGGCACTGCCATTTCATGAGAATTTTGAAGATAAATTTGAGCATTAAGAAGAGTTATAAAGGGCGGTGCCTGTGACTCAGCAGGGGTGCTGGCCCCATCTACTGAGGGTGGTGGGTTCAAACCCGGCCCCGGCCAAACTGCAACAACAAAATAGCCAGGTGTTGTGGTGAGCACCTGTAGTCCCAGCTACTTGGGAGGCTGAAGCAAGAGAATCGCCTAAGCCCCGGAGTTAGAGGTTGCTGTGAGCTGTGACGCCATGGCACTCTACCAAGGGCAATAAAGTGAGATTCTGTCTCAAAAAAAAAAAGAAGAAGAAGAATTATAAAATGTTTTCTATATAGAATCAGAACATAGTGAAACAAATTTCCCCACAATTCCATAATCATGTGACTATTAATACACATGTGGATATGCTGTTATACAAAAGCCTACATAAGGCCGGTCGTGATGGCTCACGCCTGTTGTCCCAGTGCTGTGGGAGGCTGAGGTGGGTGGATCTCCTGAGCTCAGCCGAGTTCGAGACCAGCGGAAGACCATCATGAGGCACAGTGAGCCAGAGTGAGACCCCGTCTCTACAACAACAACAACAACAACAACAAAAAACAGCCAGACCTTGTGATCCCAGCTACATGGGGGGGGCAAGAGAACACTACAGGAGGCAGAAGTTAAAAAATAAATAAATAAAAAGCCTACACAAGCTGGTGGCCCACAATATTAGTTGCTCAGAACCTGAAGAAGAAGAGAGGCCTCATCAGTGTGAGACCTAGGTAGGAATCGTTGTCTTCTGCCAAGAAGACACTAGAAAAAGTCCTGAATGTAGCTTATCACAAACATACACATAATGTGAAAGCAGATGAGTTTTGAGTAACTGAAAAATTCATTATGTGTTGTGTAAGAGAGTAACACTAAACATTTTAGGAGTAAATCCGTGCCTCTTTAATTGGAGGCATCCAGCTCTGGCGGAGAGAAATAGATTTGGTGATGACTGTCCTCACTGAAGGGTGACTTTGGTTTCCTGAAGTGGCAGGCTCTCTTACTCAGACACACTGCCCCACAAAATAGTCTGCCATAACCTGCCACGTGCATGCCTCTTCCTGAGATGAAAACTAATGAGTAATTGTTAAGAATTACTTGTACTTAATATTTTTTGTAAAGCCAATCTTATGACATCAGGAGACATGGACTTGGCACAGAGGTTAGAACACTAAACGCTGGACCACACAGAATTGGAACCGACTGTGCTTTGCTTCTATCTCATGAACGTGTTGTAAGTTCTAAGTTCCCTTTTAAATGAGAGAAAAAAAGATACGGCTCCAAGATGGCAGTAGTGGCATTGCATCATTTCCATTGTTTGATGCTGATGATCAGAAGGTCTGGATTATGTGTGGTAGACTGGCCAAGTTGTAACACGTGCTGTATTCATAACTCTCTACCATGTATTCTCAAATTAGTTATTTCTGTGAAGCCACATTCATATATGGTAAGGGTGTCATGGTTCTTGGGTCCAGCTGCCCCATTGTACCAAAAGATTCTTTGTCTAGTGTCAAGCTGATATGCTCTTAATGGTTTCTTTCTAGGATGGAAAGAAAAAACAGACATTAACACCATAACATCATTAGCATAAATGTCATTATCCCCACTGATTATAATACTTACTAACGTACTATTCTCCAGTGAAGAACGATGCTCAATTTCTGGAAATTCTTACTTTAAAATAAATGGCCTGTTTGAAACTAGTTTATTTTAAAAGGCAACCTAGCATTAATGTAATGGAACTGTCTTGAACTCGAAGAACTCAGGGGATCCGAGTCTCTTGTTCTGGGTCTTTTGGAGCAAGCCCTTTAATCTCTGGGCCTCAGTTTCCTTGTTGGTTAAATTAATGGATTGTGCTAATGAGTAGGGATCTTTCAGGCCTAAGAGTCAGTGACCTCTGCCCATTCAGACCTTACATGAAATAGGGTACTCAACCTATAATAGGAACATGAAAGTAAGGTTTTTGCTTTTATATTTTGAAACAGGTGACAATGAAAGCCAAGCAACTGAAGGAGTCAGTGACCTGCTCCCCAGGTAAGTTAACACCTACTTTACCCCATTAGTCTATAGTGGTTTCTTCCAAATAAATTCTTCCTTATGGTAACTTTTTTTTGTTGTTTGAGACAGAGCCTCAAGCTGTTGCCCTGAGTAGAGTGCTGTGGCATCACAGCTCATAGCAACCTCTATCTCCTGAGCTTAAGCAATTCTCTTGCCTCACCTCCCAAGTAGCTGGGACTACAGGCACCTGCCACAACACCCGGCTATTTTTTTATTGCAGTTTGGCTGAGGCTGGGTTCAAACCCACCACCCTCAGTATATGGGGTCGGCACCTCACCCACTGAGCCACAGGCACTGCCCTATGATAACTTCTTTATATACAAGGATGTGGTAATTTTGCCCAGTGAACTCTATTGATCACATCTGTAAAAGTGGTTGAATTACTGGCACCAACAAACCAGTGGATCTGGGTGAAGTGGACCTAAAGCTTACGTAGTGATCAACACTCCTGGTGATTTTGTAAGGGAAATAAAGGAACATCCTACAACAAGCAACTTAAAAATTGGTACATCATTAGCTGGGCATGGTAGCTCACACCTATAATCCTGGCACTTTGGAAGGCTGACACAGGAGGGTCACTTGAGGATAGCTTAAAACCAAGCCAACCTGGGCAGCAGAGCAAGACCCTGTCTCTATAAAAAATTTAAACATTAGCCAGGTGTGGTGGTGCCCATAGTTCAGTGGGTAGGGCGCCAGCCACATACACTGAGCCTGGAAGGTTTGAACTGGCCTTCTAAAACAATAACAACTGCAACAGAAAAATAGCCAGGCCTTCTGGCGGGCACCTGTAGTCCCAGTTAATTGAGAGGCTAAGGCAAGAGAATCGCTTAAGCCCAAGTGTTGGAGGTTGCTGTGAGCTGTGATGCCACAGCACTCTGTACCAAGGGTGACAGCTTGAGACTCTGTTTAAAAAAAAAAAAAAATAGGCTCAGAGCCTGTGGCTCAAGTGGCTAAGGCACCAGTCACATACACCTAAGGTGGCGGGTTCGAATCCAGCCCAGGCCTGCCAAACAACAATGATGGCTACAACCAAAAAATAGCCAGGCCTTGTGGTGGGTGCCTGTAGTCCCAGCTACTTGGGAGGTGGAGGCAGGAGACTCGCTTGAGCCCAGGAGTTGGAAGTTGCTGTGAGCCGTGATGCCACAGCATTCTACCTAGGGGGACAGCTTGAGGCTCTATCTCAAAAAAAAAATAAATAAATAATTAGCTAGTTGTGATGGGTGCATGCCTGTATTCCTACTACTGGGGAGGCTAAGGCAGGAGAATCACATGAGCCCAGGAGTTAGAAGTTGCTTTGATCTAGACTAAGGCCATAGCACTCTAGTCTAGGAAACAGAACGAGACTCTGTCTAAAAAAAAAAAAAAAAAAAAA